AATTCAAAATCTTACTTCTAACCTACAAAGCTCTCAACAACCTAGCTCCATCTTATATTACAGATCTTATTGTTCCATATTTTCCTAACAGAACGCTTCGCTCTCAGACTGCAGGTTTACTTGTGGTTCCTAGAATTTACAAAAACAGAATGGGAGGAAGATCTTTCAGTTATCAGGCTCCTCTCTTGTGGAGCCAACTGCCAATCTCTGTCCGGGAGGCTGACACATTACCCAGTTTTAAAACTAGGCTTAAGACTTTCCTTTTTGCTAAATCCTATAGTTAGGGTCGGTTTGGGTTTCCTGAGCGGTCCCTTAGTTTGCTGCTATAGGCTTAGACTGCTGGAGGACAAACTGACCACAATTTTTACTCTGCTACTGTCTTTACTTACTCTGCTCAACCAGTTTTGTATTTGTAATTATTTTTTTCTATCCTTAACATGTGTTCTTTTTGTCTTTCAGATACACCTGGACATATATCTGGACCTACCATTCTGTGTTCGTCTGTCTCTCCTTCCTGTCCTCTCAACCAGCCGGTCAAAGCAGATGGCCGCTTGTCCTGAGCCTGGTTCTGCTGTAGGTTTCTTCCTTTTAAAAGGGAGTTTTTCCTTTCCACTGTTGCCACTGTGCTTGCTCAGGATGGGAGACTGCATTGAAGCCAAGATTCATCTTGTCTGCTGGATTCCTTAGATAGAGAACTTTTCTAATTGGCTTTTTTGTATGTGAATGTTTCTGTAAAATGCCCTGAGACAACTTTGTTGTGATTTGGCATTATATAAATAAACTGAATTGAATTGATTTGTAATCAATGGAGGGAAGGAAAGTCACAGATACAAGGCGTTTCCTAGAATTCAGTGTTAGACATGATCTGTTTCTGAAAAAGAAACCCAGTTTAACTTTCAGTTTCTTTACCAAGTATCCACATGGAGCTTAAAAGAGAGATGTGAGTCGACCAAGATACCCAAATTTTTATAGGAATCAGCAAACTCAACCGGGACATCATTTAAGGATAAAATATGAGGAAGAACTGCTGGGGCCAACATCTTATTTGAAAAAAGCATCCCTTTAGTTTTGTCGGCATTTAGGACAAGTTTGAGGCAGAACAAATCTGTCTGGATGTAGTTGAATGCAGATTTCAAAAGCTGGAAAGCCTTAGCAACAGTTTTAGCTCGACAATAAACAACTGTGTCATCAGCATAGAAATGTATGGATGCATTAGGGATGTTGTTACCTACATTATGTATGTAGATTGTAAAGAGGGTGGGTCCTAAGACTGAGGCTTGTGGTACACCATTGTTGACTGTTAAATAACTGGAGGAAGTACCATTATGTTGAACACATTGCCTCCGGTCTGAAAGATAGTTAGAGAACCAACCAATGGTGTGTTCTGAGAAACTGATTTCTGAGAGTTTATACACAAGATGTTATGATCCACAGTGTCAAAATCTTTAGACAGGTCTAAGAAAAGTGCAGCACAATAATCCTTAGCATCCAATGCTTCAACAACGTCATTAAGAACCTTCAGTGAAGCAGTCGTTGTGCTGTGTTGTTTCCTGAAACCTGATTGATTGGGAGGTAATATGTTAAATGAGTCCAGGTAATTTTTGTTTTGAGAGTTTATCAGTTTTTCTAGAACCTTGGCTAAAATGCAGAGTTTAGAGATTGGCCAATAGTTGTTCAGTGAGGTGGGGTCACCTCCCTTCAGCAAAGGAAGAACAAAGGCTGTTTTCCAAGTGTCTGGGATGGAGTTTTGTCTTATGGAGAGATTGAAGATGTGGGTCACAGGGACTGTGATGATATGAGCAGCCAGCCTTAAGAAATAAGGTGGAAGTTCATCTGGACCTGCAGATTTTTTAGGATCAAGATCTTTTAACAGTTTATTTAATGGAGAAAAAGAGGATCTGTGTTTAACTAAGTGTTGACTTGTAGGAGGGATTTGATTTGTAGAAGTTTGGTTATTAGGTGAAGTGGCTGATTTTCTGTTAGTAACTGTGTCAAATAAAGAACTAGAAGCAACAAAATGTTTGTTGAAACAGTTCAGGATCTCGTGCTTATTTGACATAGGAACAGAGTTAATGAGAAGTTGTGATGGGCGGTCAGATGATTGGGGGGTGCCTGAGAGAGATTTGATGGTTTTCCAGAATCTGTTAGGGTCATTTAGACTTTTGGAGGTCTGGGATAAGAAATAGTTGCATTTTACTGCTTTGATGGCAGTTGTGCATTTATTCCTCATCTGTCGAAAACTCAACCAATCAGTGTCTGAGTCAGATTTTCTCGCTGTGGCCCAAAGATGATCTCTCCTGTGCAGAAGGTCAGCTAGCTCTGGAGTAAAGCAGGGGCTGTCTGGTCCCTTTATTCTGAACTGACGAAAAGGAGCATGTTTGTTCACGAAAAAAATGAAACTATTAAGAAAATAGTTCCAAGCGGAGTTCACGTCATCAGTTAACAGAATATGATGCCAGTCAAAGTGAGACAGATCCCAGAGGAATGACTGTTCACAAAAATGTTTCAGATCCCTATTTTGAATTAATCTGGGCTTAGAAGGTGGAAGTTTAATATCTCTCAAAGCTGCTGTCACACAATGATCACTCAAGATATTGACAAATACACCTGTACCAGGGAATTTGTGAGGCATATTTGTTAGAAATAGGTCTAAGATGGAGGATTTTTCAGGACGGTTTTTGTTTAATCTATATGGGAGAGTTGATCAATTGGGTAAGATTGAGAGACAGGCAACATTCCTTGAATTTATCACAGAGGGGGGTCGACTTAGCCCAGTCAATATTGAAGTATCCTGCCAAAAAGATCTCTTTGAACTTTAAATTACCAAGGAATTCAATCAGGGAGGACAGAGCCTCAGGTGTTGCTGAGGGGGGACGGTAACAACAGACTACAGATAATATCTGGCCACCATTCAAAATGATGTTTGCAGCTAAAGCATCAATTTGGTTAGGAATTGTTTTAGAAGACATAGGACTAGCAACCAAAGAATCTCTGATTTAAACAGTGACCCCCCCCCCCTTTTTGACGATCACAGCGGTAGATGTTAAATCCATTGATTACCAGGTCGTTATTGAGTACAGATTTGTTGCGCCAAGTTTCAGAGATGAAGATTACATCTGTCCCAGAAGAACTGACCAGAATTTTCAAGGAATCAAGTTTTCTCAGAAGGATACGAGTGTTTATATGCAGAAAATGAAGACCAGATACGTTCTTAAAGTCATTTGGTGTGCTATAACTAGTGGGGGGTCCAGGGTTGGGCTGAATCCCTGAGAGCAGTAACAACATTATAATGGACCCTTCCCTGAAACTTAACAGTCACGTAAACATGATTGTTAAATCATGTTTCTTCCAATTGAGGTAGCTGTCTTAACTGAAGCCCATATTGTCCAAAAATACCCTGGATACAGTAATACATGCATTCATTACATCTAGGCTTGATTACTGCAATTCACTCCTGTTTGGTGTCAGTCATACCTCCATTGCATGACTATAACTTGTCCAGAATGCAGCTGCTCATTTTTTAACCAGTAAAGGCAAAAGAGAGCACATTACACAAGTTTAGGCCTCACTGCACTAAAATTAGTTACCGGTTCACATTCGAATCCAGTTCCAAATACTCCTGTAGGTCTACAAATCACTGAACAGTTTTGCCCCCCCCCCCCCCCCCCCATCTCTCTGATCTGCTACAACCGTATGTCCCACCACGTTCCCTGAAGTCAGAGGACCAGTTGCTCCTCACAGTTCCAGGAACTCGTCTTAAGCACAGAGAGGACAGAGCCTTCTCTGTAGCAGGACCAAGACTTTGGAACGAGTTACCTCTGCTTGTCAGACAGGCCCCCTCCCTCTCGGTCTTGAAGTCCCGTTTAAAAACCCACTACTATTCGGTAGCTTTCAACACCAGATGATCTGTGTTTTGAACCTGTATGCTTCACACTGGTTAGTCATCATTATCTGCATCATTTTATGTCTATATTTCTAGTTACTTAATTTTGTATTTTGCTTTATGTGTTACCTGTTGTTCTGTCTGTACAGCACTTTGGTTGGCCTTGTCGCTGTTTTAAGTGATCTATAAATAAAATGGTATGGAGGAATCTAAGTGTTGAATGATCTCAGTGTATACAAACCTGTTGTGAATGTCCCCAGAATCAACATTAGTACAACACCTCTAAGAAGTAGTATACCATCAACTGTAAATACTATCTTGAAAACCAAGGAGCTCTTCACACAAATCAGAGACAAAGTTGCAGAGAAGTACAGATCAAGGTTTTTTTTTTAAATTTATTTTAAAAAGCCTTTACTTTGAACATTGCATGGAGCCCATGTAAAAAATACAAAAATAAAGTCACCACAACAAACCTACATACTACTAAGAAAGGGTCATTCAAGAAGTTTCAAGAACTGAATAAGGAGGGCTTTAATTAATGAAGTATCAAGGACACCAACATTTTTCACAACTAGGCACAAGACCACAGAAAGGAAGTTAAAGCCACACCCAATTTTTAAAAATTAAATTAAATCTAGTGACTAAATGTGGTACTTTTTTTTTTGGTCTTGTCCCTCCAATTAGACAAGTGGTCCTCTTCCTTCATTCCAGGCCACGGGGGTCACTGGTGCCCATATCCAGCCATAATTGTGCAAGAGACGGGAGACACCCTAAACAGGTCTCCAGCCCATCACAGGGACACATCCAGTACAAAAAAAAACAAAAAAACATTCACTCTCTCACTCCCACCTAGGGACCATTTAGAGTTACTAATCAGCCTAACATGCATGTTTTTGGTCTGTGGGAGCAAACTGGAAGATCTGGAGAAAACCCACGCACTACTAACTGCACCACTCTGCCACCATTTCTTATATAGTTACATCACAATACATGTTGTTTTTAGCTTATATTACAAAGGTATCTGCATTGACACCAGTTTCTTTTTGTTATCGTTGACATTTAGTAAAATAAAACTAACACATATACAGGAAGATAACTTAAAAAAACCCATTCCTACCTGACACATCTTTAGGTCTTCATTGATAGCTTTCCCGTTAATCTGTGCTGCCCTCAGTATCAGGTCCCATGCCTCCTGATTTTGGTTACTGGCCATCAACCAGCGAGCTGATTTAGGCAAAACCCTGAAAAATGTCAAGGCCAGTTGCTCAGTAGACATTTTTAAAACTAAATTATTATTATATTATGTTATCTTATATTACAGTATATTATATAAAAGTGTTTTGTACATAATGTTTCCACTTAAAAACAAAAACATCTTTCTTTCTTTGCATTTGTCAAACGAGACTGAGAACGGCTGCTTTACATGTTTATAATGCTCAAAGTCCTGATTTTGGTTCAGATCCAGACTGAATGAAAAGTCTGTCTGGTCCCAACCCATTTGTTAGTTTTGCACTGCATTGAAATGCACTGGTACAATGTAATGAAGAAGGATGTACAGTAGCTGCTTTGAATGCACACAGAGACAGAGAGTACACGGTGGAGGGAGTGCTGTATTCGTGTGCTCAGTTAGAATCAGATGAGGCGAGGACAGGAGAAGCTGTCTTCAGTCTCTGCAGCTGCAGAAAGAAACACTTTTTAAAAAGGAGAAATATTTTGCTTTTAGTTTTTTTTTTTTTTTGGTTGTTCACTTCTTCAGGGGTTGCCACAGCGAACTAACTCGTATGAAGACTTGGCAATTGTTTTTATGCTGGATGCCCTTCCTAATGCTACCAAAAGCCTTCTGTGTGGAGCAGAGAGCTGCCATCTAGGGCAACCAGGGGAGTAGATGGTGGGGGTTAAGGGCCTTGCTCAAGGGCCCAGAGTGAGGCACTTCACTTCACCACTTGCTCTTGCTGAGATCGGACGTTTTCCCCTCCCCTCCCTCTCCACTTTGCTTTGCTGCTCTGTCTGTCTGTCTGTGAAACTGCTTCTGAGCCTCTCTTGCATATCTTCCGAACCATAATTATGGACTTGTTTTGATCAGTTGGTTCCTCAAATTAGTTTACAACAATTCTTCAAAGAGAAGACAGGCTTTAGGCGAGCTGATTTGCCCTGTTGGCACGCATGCAGCTGGATATTTCGTCGACTTGGAAGACGATGATTTGTCTATCTCTGCTGCCATTTGTGGATTTTAAGGACACATATTTAATTGGATTTACCATAACTGACTCCTGCTTTTTGGATTTGGCTGGTTGCTGATTTTATCTACAATCAAGGAAGTCGTCGGCAGCAAATTTGGACCCGATCACGCTGCTTGCCTTTATGATGGCTTGGTTCGTGTCTCGAGTACCCAGACTCAAATGCTTTAGGCAGAATGGATCAGATCTCAGGGATTTTACTCAGTCACGTTCCATCGGTGTGGCCATGTAATTTGAACATTTCGGAACTGAGTGGACCAACACAGACTCAAGGTAGATGTCATTAAGTTCTGCCTGTCCCCAAAACAACTGTGTGTTTATCTGAAGTTGGCTCCTTTGGCTGGCCTTGAAGGCCATCTTATCTAAATTCACCTGAAGAATATGTGATCTGATGCTCACTACCCCCTCCCTAAGGAATTTCCAACCGATAACCAGATGACACCAGCTGAACAAACTTTGTGTCATCATTTCAGGACTCTCAGATTCTCATAGTCGTTATTCTTGGCCATTCCTTGACATACCTCAAGAATGTTTATGGATCTCACCGGAGGACACTGGCTGATTATTCCATCTTAATCAGAACTCTTACAGTGCTCTCGAGAGTATCTATGAGCATGCTCACCGCTCTCATCGTCGTCTTTGCAGAATGTCTACGTCACTATGTGCTTGTTTGTGCAAGATGTTTTTTAATATCAGAGTTTTTTCTTCTCAGGCAGAAAAAAAAGTTTGATAGGAATTTTTTCACTTCCAATTCCTACATCTGTCCAGTTTCACTACTTTTTGTCTGTCTAAACATATCTCACTTGTAAATGAGTCTTCTAGGCTCAATGTGACTTATCTGTCTAAATAAAGGTTGAATGAATGAAAAGTGAAGGTGGAGAAAGGCGTGGGTGTTTGATCTTTCCTACCCACATTTTGATGTTGTCAGTTCAGGGAGTTTAACCGGTGACCTTCCGATCACAGGCCCACCTTCTCTAACCTCTGAGCCACCACTCCACCTAGATCTTTTGCTTTAAGTGTATGTCAGTAATTCAAAAATGGTAGTAATTAGGTGTGTGTGTTTGTGGGTGCATGTGTGTTTTTTCAAAACGTTGGTTATGTACTGTAAACTCAGATTCTATGAGTATAGGCGCAGCCCTTTAACGTTATCGCTAGTGGGTTTATCCCTTCATGCGCAGCGTAGCACTGAAGACTTTAGTCCGCACCCACTAGCTGTGTGGGCCCCATCCCCAGTCCGTATAAATTATGGTGAGTCCAGACGATCGGCTCCCAGATAGCTTTTTTCTTCAGCCATTTATTGAACCAGTGAGGCCCAGAGCTTAATGGGCTGCGCCTATACTCATAGATTCTGGGATTATAGTACGTAACCGTTTTATTTTGTATAGGCTTCGCCCTTTAAGGCTATCGCTAGTGGGTTAAAGGCGACGCAGGATGTAGTCTATGCTTCACAGGGTCCATCCAGACACAAACATGAAGCACCTGCTCGCACAAAACACATTTCATCACTCAGCCTTCTGTGTGTGTAATTGCGTGCTCCATGCGCAACAGCGCACCAGAGAAAAGAATGATCTCTGGTGAGAGAAGGGCTGAGATAACAAATAATAGAATAGGAACAATGGAGGTTACAAGTTGTAACAGTGTAACAATGAACAGATCAGACAAACAACTCCTCACGATGAACAGAATCATAACACTAGCATCAGCAGTCATGAACTGTGACTGATAATAAATATCTCACACCGCAACAGCATGCAGGCAGGTGTGAGCTCAAAATGAGGCTCCATGAAAAAAAAATCATTCTGTCAGAACCCTAAGAACAGAATGGGTCATGGAGCAAGTGGAAGCTTCACCTAGATAAAAAACAAATAAATGAACATGGGGATGAACAGGAAGCCACCATGCAAATATCCTCCACTGTCATCCCTCCATGCAAAGCCGTGGAGGATGAAATCCCTCTGGTGGAATGCGCTCTGAGATACTCTGGAGGATCCAGCCCAGATGAACTGTAAGCTTCAGAAATAGCCTCACACGACCAGTGTGAGAGGCACTGAATGGATAGGACATCCTGCAGAGTTGTCCCTGTAATGCACGAACAGACGCTGAGAATGGCACAGTGTAGCTGTGCGCTCCACGTAACACAAGAGCGTGTACACGAGACAGAGAAGGTGGGATGTGGCTTCCTCCTCAGAATTATGAGGAGGAGGATAAAACCCATCCAAGGTTATCAATCTCGATGTAAATGAGCTTGTGATGCTTTTAGGATTAAAAGCAGGGTTAGGACACAGTAAAGCTGAACTACCGTCGGCTTGAATTCTGAGACATGAGGGAGCAACAGAGAGAGCAGATAAATCACTCACTCTCTTTGCAGATGTCAGAGCTAGCAGCAGGGCTGTTTTAAATGACAGAAATTTAAGTGAACCCTATCTAAAGGCTCAAAAGGAGCTTTAACCAGTGCACACAGAACCATTGCTAAATCCCACTGTGGGGCTTAGCGGATGTGACACAGGTCTGTGTCTCCATACAACTTTCAGAAAATGCTTCATCAGTGTGTGGTTAAAGACTGTTCTGTCACCGAAACCCTCATGACAGGAAGAAATAGCTGCAGCATAAATTTTAATTGTGCTGAACGCTATTTTTCTGTCCATCAGCTGCTGCAGAAATGATAGCACGCAGCCTAAAAGATATGAAATGGCCTCCACGCCTTTCTCCGTGCACCAGCGCTGAAAAACTGTCCACTTTGACGTGTATAATTCAATTCAAAAATTCAATTCAAAAATACTTTAATATTCCCAGAGGGAAATTAAATGTTGTCGTAGCTCATCATCCTGGTTTTATTCAAGAGTTGTTAGATGCTGATTGCTGTGGGAAGGAAGGATCTCCTGCAGCGAATACGAAGAATCTGGCCACAGATACTGATCTGTCCACCCAGATCTAGCTGGCCTCTCGGTCCTCCTGGGCAGCAGGGCCGCCCGAATGCCCGCCAGAACTCCTCCTAGAGCGATGGCCACTCCTCCTAGCAGTCTGCTGAGCTCCTCGTCACTGCGGACAGCCAACTGTAGGTGTCGAGGAACGATCCTGTCCTTCCGCTGTCATGACCCATGTTTCCTGCTAGTTCCAGGATCTCAGTGGTCAGACACTTGAGCGTAGCTGGCAGGTAGATGAGAATGCGTCCACAGAACATCCTTGTCAACTCATTTGAGATTTGGGGCTGTAGTGGAGATATTATTTGAGCTTTTAAGTTGTTAATCAGCTGCTGTTGGTTGTAGAAAACTGCTTTGTTGCCATGGTTACGCATACAATACAATACAATACAACTTTATTTATAGAGCACTTTAAAACAACACTGTTGGCCAAAGTGCTGTACACAAGGACATACAAAAACATAAAAACCCCACACGTTAAAAATGCGAAATAAAATAAAGATAACAAATAAAATAAAACAAATAACTTAGAGTCATTAAAACCAACATTTCAAACTGAAGTAAAAGCCAAAGAGAAAAGATGTGTCTTCAGAGAAGACTTAAAAACAGGAAGTGAGCCAGCTTGTCTGACATGCAGAGGCAGCTCGTTCCACAGTTTTGGGGCAGCGACTGAGAACGCTCGGTCACCTCTCAGTCTCCTGTTGGACCTAGGGACGACCAGCAGCAGCTGATCTGCTGACCTGAGAGAGCGAGAAGGAGTGTACAGCTGGAGCAGGTCGGACAGATACTGTGGGGCGAGACCATGAAGACATTTGAAAACAAATAAAAGAACCTTAAAATTAATCCTGAAGCGAACCGGGAGCCAATGTAGTGATTCTAAAACAGGGGTGATGTGTTCTCGTTTTTTGGTACCAGTTAAAAGGCGGGCAGCTGCGTTCTGAACCAGCTGAAGTCGAGTCAGTAATGACTGGCTCAGACCGACATAAAGAGAATTACAGTAATCCAGGCGAGTTGTGATGAAAGCATGGATTAAGATCTGAAAATGATGTTGTGACAGAAATGGTTTGACCTTGGCCAGTTGTC